GCCAACAGGATGCCGAATGGCTTCGTGTAGTCTTGAGAGACCTGGTTTCACAAGGTAAGCTGGACTTTTGCCGAAGTATTAGACTGTCAGTAATGTAAATAACCCGTGAATAGGAATCCCTCCTGACGAGGTGCGCCGCTGGAAGTGCTTGACCACCACTGCTATTGCTCCGCACAGCTTCGAAACCAGTAAGAGATCAAGACATTTCGCCAGGTCACTATGGAGGCATGTCATATCCATGGTGAAAGGTGACACAAGCGCTCTAGAGTCACAGTTGTTTACGAGGCTGGAAGTTGAAATCGTCGTCAAGGCCGTCGAGATATCGAGGTTGATGCGCAAGTGCCAAAGCTCTGTCCAAGTCCGGTGGCCAGTCAAGCTCAAGAGCACGTCATGTCGAGCAATTGAGGATGGAACACTAGTTTGTGAAGTGCTCACATCCCCAGAGTTGGTGACAGTCTCGGCTGGAGGCTCGACAGCAGGCGCAGAGGAGAACGTTCTCGTACCGCACAGCATGTTTAGGATCGAAGGGATTACTGCGAATGACAGTAATGGAGCTGGAAAGACTTTGAAAAATTGACTCAAATATATAAAGGCTGCTAAACTAGGAAATTGACCTCGAGATTTCGCATCCATTCATTCATCCTAACTCTTGTCCTCAACCTCAGCAGATGACATGCCTGCGCTCATGCTAATGCTGTTATCAAGTTGAATGCAAAGGAGCTCAAGCCGATGAGGAGACTAAGGATTGTCGTCACCGTGGGCTTTTTGCCGCCTTTCAAAAAGTCCTTCATTTTAGTCTTCAAGTCTTTTTCGAGCTCCTCATTCACATCCTCTTCCAGCACATTCTCGGTTTTTCTCCGAGTCTCGATATGCTCGTACAGCTCCTCCACGTCGTCGTCTGTGTCTGCAGCCGTTGCTGAAGGACCGGATGCTGCGGCGGCACTAGATTGATGCCCTTCCTTGAGCGCTTGAATCCGCTTCTCGTCTTGCTCTCTTGCGCAAATGATAAACTTGCCTGCAGTCGTCTCCGCCAGCGTCTTCCCACTGTCCATCTCCTCCTGCAAGGCAAACTTGACCGGAGCCTGGGACATCAAAGATCGAAGTATAGTTTCGGCAGAGGCGCGGCTGTTCTCGAATCGGAACATTTTCGCTTTCTTACGGAGCATTGGGCGCCAGAATATCCGGCGAAGGTCACTTTCCTTGGTCCCAAGTTCCAAAACCCCTTGACTCGCTTCATCGGGCCACTTGGTTGTAACGAATGTGACGTGGTCCCAGCAGTTCTCGCCGCAAATCTGTTGAAGCAGCTCGAGTTGCCGGACAGCTTCGCCCGTCATTCTGGCGGAAAGAATGTCGTGCAGATAAAGTATCCCTCTCTGTTCGTTCCATCAGCGATATTACAAATCATATCAAGATGGATCGCATCACCATCTGCACTCCCATCGCCGACTGGAGCGCGATCAACCGGGCAATCTCGCTGAGGATGATTGCGTCGGAGCGCCCATGCCGGCTTCTGGTGTCATTGAACCCTGGCGTGTCGATCAGTATAAGAGGCTTTCCATCAAAACTCGTATAGATTGCGGCGGGCTGCTGTGTGCCTGTGGCAAGGTGTCAGTAAAGCTATGTCTTCCTAAGACCCATCACTGGGAGTCTCTTTTTACATGAACCCAATCTCGCTGAAGTAGCACATGCCCCAGGCACGATCGAATTGATGAAGTGACTTTTGCCTGCGCCTGTGGCGCCTACCAGGAGGATCATGGATGTCTCCTCGGCCTCGCGCTGGATAGCGTCGCCTATCTCTGCCCCAAATTCATCGGCGAATCTGTGTCTCATGACGGGACAAGCTTTGTTTGGTACAGGAGACCATAAAACTAGCAGAGTCGCAGTTTCGTAAGGATTTTTCTCTCATGAGAAAGTCTTTCACTCAGCCTCATTTTCCCACCACCTTGTCGCTTCCAGCTGCCCCAGTCCAAGCCTCAATCTCTAACTTGCAGGGCCGAGGCCATCGTAGGTCCCAATGATTGGACGATTCGGTTACTAGCGTCCGTGAAAAAGGCAGCGGCTAGAGCAATGAGGTGAAGCGAAGGCAGGGATTAGGCTGCATGTCTTTGTGATCAATTTGGAACTGAGCCATCATGAACAAAGAAACGCCTTCGGTCGTACGAGCAGTCCAAGTGAGCATCATCGTCGTGCAATGCAGTTCGATATGACGGACGGATCCTGCCATACAGAGCCGAGCCGAGCCACTAGAAGCAGTCAAACTCCGGAGGGGAAACTGTTTTTCTCCAGCTAGCTGCAGGGCTGAACAGCTGGGCGATTGAGAGCCTTGAGTGCATGAACAAGATGCTTGTGAGTGAAGTCGCCGACGCTTGGCATGGAATGAAAGGTGAATGTGAATCCGAGTGAAGAAATGATGCAACTGCGGCAGCCATGCCCGACCATAGAAATACTTTACGCGTCCCACATGTCACATTGATCGACCGTATCTCTATTTACCTCCACCCGGCATTGACTATGTATAAAAAAAAGTTACTCCTTATAAAGTGTTGATGTCAAGAACATAACCCAGGACATGGCATTACTTCGCCTGCTTTGTTCAAAATGGAGTCTCAGCACTCAGAGCCTGCTGACACGAATGACGGCCATCGTCGCAACTTCGGTGAGGCTCGTCGACAACTCGCGGCCGCCATGATTCGCCTCTCTAAAATGCCCAAAACCACGCCAGATGGCCTCGATCCAGACTTCGTGGCGTCGAGACTCGTCAGTCTAGAGATCGACGCTCGGAAACACGGTCAAGTCGACTCTCCCCTCCCACCCTGGCTGGTATTTCACTTGGGACACATGTATTTCAGATCACTCGACATACATCTACAAGCCGATGATCATTGGACAGACGAAGTGAGGTATATCATCCAGTCGTTACTCAAGTTAGAATACATTTTGGTCTGGGCCTGCTGATACATTACAGGTGCGACTACTTTGAATCGAGCCAACAGTTTGTCCTGCGATGGAATTCCAAACCTCGTGAGGTACTCCGGACGGAGTTGCGGTCCAGTCTCCACGCTCACCTGCGCTCCCTGCACGGTCACTGGCCCGATACAGCTGCTGGAAGATTTGCCCAAGAGAACCGCTACTGCGGTTACGTCGCGGTTAAATCTGTCAGTGATATTTTCTCCAAGCGACATGATCCAGACATTGCACTTGGACATCCCTCCGCTAGATATCCGGGTGTAATTATCGAAGTTGTAGGGTCTGAAAAGGGGAATGCGTTGGAACAACACGCAAACGAATACCTGTGGCACTCTGGTGGCCAGATTCGCGTCATGGTTGGCATCAAGACGGAATTTTCTGACGAGAAGGGAAACAAGAATAAGAAGGCCACATTTTGTGTCTGGAAGTCGCAGTCGACGACTCAAGATGGGAAGCAATCGGTTCATGCAGCCTGCACTGTCAGTGAGGTGAGTTTGAGTCAACTTAGCCTCTCTCTCGGTTTGGCAACCGTCTTTACTGACTCGATGTCTAGGTGATGTTTCGGAATGAGGAAGGTGTTCCCAATCTAGACGCCGAGTTGAGGTTCTCCTTGAGCGACTTCGCGGCTCCAGCCGTTATCAAGGGTTTCGATCCATTCATCGACCACACTATCCCCATCACTGCCGGTGAGCTTTGTGCGTATCTCAAGAAAGCAGAAAAGTTCGAGACCACCACGGATTGAACTCGAAGAACCATGATGGAAGGATGCATCAAAATACGAGGTCAGAACAGCCCTGGTAGGAGCGACGAATCAAGCTGGGCTTTCATACGACCTTCACAGTACCCGAGTCTCACGGCGCTCTGATGTCTGCAACTCCCCTGGGGGCTGGTGACCGGTGGCACGACTGCACAACAAATGAGCCACGAGGTAGATAGTCAACGAGACTTTTATTAATGGCTCTTGGTCCGGGCTGTTGGAAGGCGGCCAGTGGTGAAATGGCTTACGAATCATGATTTTGCTTGCAGTGATAACCCCGATTAGCAAATTGAAAGCTTTCAATCACGTTCAAGGTTCATTTTTGAAATTGTAGTTGTAGTTGACATCGTTGATATATTAGTTCGTACGAAACTGAGAGGTATCAAGTCCGTATCAAGCTCATGAATTAGATCGACAGCGGTCCAGCCCGTTCCTGAGAGTGTTACTGTAAATGGCCATCCGCGGAGACTCCCTACCTAGCTACCTACACATTCACCAAGACAAACACTACTATTGCCGCCGGTACTGTTGCCGTTGCTCCTGTCTGTCCCAGCATCTCCGGATCTCCGAGGACCTCTCCATACCTCCCCCCACTACGAACCCAGATTCCTTCGCAGACACGGTAGTGAGAGAGGGGTCCCCGCGGAGGTATAGCTACCCTTTGTGCCTTTCCACGAAACGGTGACACATCGGGTGACTAGCCAAGTCTGTCGATTGGACCCATATTTTTCCCGGCTTTTTTTTTTTTTTACGAAATAATCTGTTCTCCACATTTTTCCTGCTCGTACAAGTGGATGGACGTCAGATCAAATATTCGCGCAGGGGCAGAGGCAGATGGATGGGATGGGATGGGATGGGAAGGGACCGGGGTGTTGTTGGGGGGAGTTAATGGGAAGATGGGCCTACATCCATGCATGCATGCGTTCAGACATGCATACAAATATACGCTCGATTCGCTTCCCCTGATTACCTACTTACGTCCCAGAATCTGGACCATCTCCGCGGTACATATCTCCACTGGTTCCCCCCAGCGCGTACCAGAGTCGAAGGCACGGAGAAACCATAATCGAAGAGTTGACCCCGCAAATCACCTCTCTCTTAGCTGAAGGCAGCAAAATGGAGCAAACGCCGAGCTCGATGACATAGACCCAGAAGGGCTGAATCCCATGCAATGCAATGCGTATGTGAGAGTGAGAGAGAGTCACAATCCCAAGCACGACATTCCCACCTCCCTCCCTATCCCAGTCGGAAAGTATCACTGTTACGTAACGACAACCTATGCGAAATACGGAGGACAGTCACACTCGAGATTCGTCCTAGGACTCTGAGTGTTGTCCGCCGAGTAAGAAATCTGAGCGGGCAGAATGAGGCGGAACGTGCGGCGGCGATTTGACGCCGTGACTCGGACGCAGAGGTCGAGTTTATACCGCCGTGACACCAGCGAGGACTCGAAACTGGGGACCGGGTACTTTAGCTTGCCAAAGTTGAGCGTCAAACGGGTTTGGGCTTCCGCGATCGAGCGCTGTGCCGTGTCTGTGTTTGTGTCTGGCGTGCCGTCATCTTCTGTAGAAATTTGTCAGGGACAGGGTCAGGGCAGAGCCAAATCGCAACGGTGCTGCCACCACAAATACTTACGTAGTAAAGTGTGAGGGGTCTCCTTCCAGCCTGAGAATTGTACGGGAACTTCGACTTCGGCGTAGACTCCCTCGTTGCGACATAGTGTACCGCGCGAAGATGAGACGTCTTTCAGCGTCGGAGCACTTCCGCGCGGGTCGCTGGAGATATAGGTCGAGAACACCAAGGATGCCACGCACTGGCCGATGACTGGAGCTCGTGGCTGTTCTCGGCAGTTCCTGGTTAAATAGTTAATTTGGGTCAGGCTTAACGTGGTAGAAAAGACCGTGTCGTCTGTAGGTTTGCACAAAATCACCGGCAAAGGCTGGCTTGCTTCGATTCGCAGCTCTCTCGTGCGAGATCCGCCGGGATGCCATGTCCTCTGGCATCTCGACTGTGTTAGGACGTACTCGCCGGGGAAATCTGCGACACAAAATGGCGGAGGGACGTCCAGGGTCGGGATGATGTTGACGGTGCGGGTGATGCTGGCGACCACTTTGTCTCGGATTAGAGCCTGCACACGGAGATTGTAGCCGACGTTGGATTCTCCCTGATACCGTGGCTGGAGAACAGGATGTTTCTTCACGCTCTCGAAACTAGGTAGGGATGGGGGAAGGTCTCGTAGGAACCCGCGATTCTGTCCCAGGAGTTCGGACTGTAGAGTTTTTGGTATGTCGAAGTGGAAGAAGCACTTGGGTGTGCTCTTTGCTTGGTCTTCGAGGCCGACGAAATCACTCGCTGTCTTGATGTCGTCGAGCTGCAGGAGCTGCAGGCGGAGTCAACATAGAGCTCTTAGACAGGGTTCCAAGTGTGAATCCCTCATACCCTTTGGATTCCGTGGACGAGGGTATCCGCATACCAGTCCGCGCTCCGGATGGTGTTTAACAAAACACCTGGTTCTATCAGCACAGGGTTCAAAGCACTGCGGAGGGAAAGCAGATAGCTAACTGACCCTCCAAGGTGACTTTAAGCCTGTCGAACTCAATACTTTTTGAGGCTGCGATGGAGATGTAGCCATCAATACCAGCGTCGCCCAAAAAGTAGGGGTCTTTGCTTGTAGAAAGGGCAATGCCGTTGGTAAAAGTCAACTCCATTGTTCAACGGGCCGGCAGACAACAATGTATGCTCCCAGATGATCTGCATGTATAATGTAAAGGGTTCAAATGGCAAGCACAGACAAGGGCCCTTCCGCTTGAACGTCCAACCCCCATGCCAGCCTCGGAGGATCGACTGGTAATATAGCAATGAGTAAGTGAGAGTTATTTAGGTGTAGGTATCTCTTCCTTTACCCAAGACATGATTCGACAACCCACATTGCCTGGAGCAATCACAGACAAGCACTAAATCCAGCAGAGCGGCACGAGACCTGGCGGCGGGGAATCCTCTTCCAGAATGTGCAAGAGTAATGCTTTGGGTTAAAAGAGCTAAAATCGATCCGTGGTAGCCTTCTTGCTAATTTGCACCACACGAAGGTGTGGATCTCTCGATGGTATTTCCAATACCACGCGCATACTGAAAGATTATTCGGTAATACATGGAATGTATTGGCCCGGCATTTCTTCGCGCTCCAAACCACGTATTGATGAGGCCTTGGAATGCTGCACGGAACCCGGGGGGCCCTTCAAAAAGCCATTGGAATAAGGAGTATGTAGCCAAGTGAATTGCCGGCGCTTCAATGCTGTCCCATCCCAACGACCTTTCGCTCCCTCCCCAGTCTAAGATTCAGTTCGAAGCTACTACTGCTGCGAGTTCGAAGGCGCAACAACTCGTATTCGCCTAGGCCGCCATTCCCACAACAGCTTATATCAGCCGCAGATCTGCAACCGGGTTAAGGGAGAGTTTTCTGTTGGAGCGATAAAAGTTCTGATCGTTCTGACGATTCCCTACATTTTGACCATGATCCTGTCCAGTAGGAAATGCAACCTCCCTCCTCTCATCGGCGTGCGTAGCTCTTGCGAGAAGCAGCACCTTCTTGTCCTTGAGCACACCCGCAAAGTGCGACGGCCCCCCGCCGCATTGAGCTGGAACATCGCAATGGTCTCTGGCTATTTTCGACAGCCTCGTCAACATATCTGAATCGCTGTTTTCTCCTGATGCGCAGACCTGACTTAGCGATCGCTCTCACAGCTCAAAGTCATACCTTTCCTGACGCGAGACCAGCCTTGGGTCCTCCGCCACCACAACTTTGTCAAATCGAAACGTATCACTCCCATCACTTTTAAAGCCACGACCCGACGCTATGGACGAAGCGGTCAATTTAGATAATTTGTTCAAGTTCCAGGAATGGGCGCCCGCAGAATTCTAGCCAGTTTTCAGAAAGCGTAGCGAGTGTCGGAACCGCTGCAACTCCTCTTCCTGACCACATCACACCCTGTGTGACAGCGAATAACATCCCATCGGCAGTAAGCTAGCGCCATAACCCATCCCCATCGAGCTCGAGATTTTTGCAAGAGAGGGAGTCGAACCCAGATTTATGGGAGCGATTTTCCAGATTGCCTGCGCTACTCGACCGAGTGGAAAGTGACGCACAACGGCAAAGCGATCTCAAAGGATACTGAGCTCGAAGTGTTACTAGCCCCGGGTTGTTACTGGCGACTTGTCTTGAAAGCCCAGCTCGAGGAGCTCTTACAGAAAAAGCTCCTTAGAAGTCGAGGTGTACGCTCCGGGGATACGACTGCGGTCGTCTGAGTCACGGAACGTTCGCAGCGAGATCCAACCAAAAGATTCGATCAAACCAACATTGATTGGGGGATTGTGGAAAAGTGACTGCGTAATTGGCGTCAATCCTTCCGGAAGGATAAGAGACTCCGGTTGAACCTTTCATTCAATTATATGGAGGCGAACCGTTCAATGACCAGGGCTGCTGCGAGGTAAGGGTGACAAGAGAGGATCCGACACCGGAAGTCCCATTCACCAGTCATTTATTCGTTCTGTAGAAAAGTTCCTGTAGACGAGATTTTGTTCCGTGTTTCCAGACTCGGTAGGCGTATGTTGAATGTCACTCTCACTCGGCGTGAGCTGCAAAGCCTGAAGCCGACATTGAATTTCAATACACCGTTTCGAGGAAGGTCCTTGGACGGCAGCATAACCCGACAATGCTCGAGTGTACAATTCTTTCGCTATATCTGTTCGATCTGTTTGCGCGTAGAGGTTACCAAATGAGAATATAGTACTTAACGCCGGCAGATATGACGAGACACGCTCGACCCCGAATGCCTCCTCGTAACCTTGTAGCGCTCGAACGTACATCTTCTCCGCCTCGACTAGCTTGCCTTAGGCGTTGTAGAGGAAGCCTAGGCTTCCGACTGTATAGAGTGTCGATAGATGGTCTGGTCCAAGTGCCTTCTCGTAGCCTTGTAGCGCTCGAACGTACATCTTCTCCGCCTCGACTAGCTTATCTTGGGCGGTGTAGAGGGAACCTAGGTTTTTAACCGTATTAAGTGTCGATAGATGGTCTGGTCCAAGTGCCTTCTCGTAGCCTTGTA